GGGCCGTGGTGGGAGAGGGAAAAGCACAGGACTAGCGGCGAGGACGCGTCCTCGGAGAGGCGGAGGAAGGCCGGCCTTGAGATGTGAAGGGCACTGACATATTTGGGCGTCTCTTACAGTGTCTCTCCTGGCTTCGGAGCCTCGCTTTCCGCCGACGGGGTTTCCCTGGCTGTGGAGGGAGGGATGTGGGCCGAGTGGATGGCCTGGCCTCTCCGGTGTGACAGGTCCGTCACCACCCACCCGTCCCCGAGGCCCGGCGGCCTTTAGCCTTCGGTGCGTGGTCGGGCTTGGCGGCTCCAGGGCTGGGAGTTACAGTCCTTCCCTTCCGTGAGGGCGGGAAGAGCGAAATGGTTCTGCCCGACAGGTGAGCCAGCGCCGCACGGTGTGTTCCTGAACTACGTTCTTTCTTATAGGAAATTTGGTTTAAGAGGAGCAAGGGCGAAGGGGAAATATTAACAGGCTTCAAAGATCAGAAGACAATGTTTCATGACTGGGGAGGGAATAGCGTAGTAGCCGCTGACGGTGAGCAGCGGTCATGAGTGCAAGCAGCTCAGGACCAAAGTGTGGAGGAAGGGAGTGGCATGGGCAGTTCAGAAACCTGCGAGTAGTTCTGGGGCAGAACCGATATATAACAGGAGATTTTACTGAAAGAAGAAACAAAGCTTCTTTCGAGAAGGGTGCTGGAGACCAGATCTTGAAAAACCACCTTTGGCTAATTAGGGTACTTGAGCTTGATCCTCCTTGAAAGGTCGGAAGGAGGAGATTATTTTGAAATACCGCAGTTGTCTGCAGTTAGAGAAAAGATTGGGAAAAGACAAGACAGGAAGACCAGTGTAGGGATTCTAAGTAGTAGTTGACATCAGAGGGAGAAACCGGATGGAAAGAATACTTGTATTTTAAGGCAGAGAACAGTGATGGATTTCCCCCTTTAATTATATTTGAAAAAGTAATAAATGAACATGCTAAAAAAAATTCAGAGCATACAAAAGAATCTACAGTTAAATTTTGTATGGATATTAAGGGTGTGGGATGACTAGTGTCCCCTAAAATTCATGTCCAGCTGGAGCCTCAATATGACCTTATTTGGGTATAGGTTCTTTGCAGATGTAATCAGTTAAAATGAGATGTGCAGGATTAGCATGGACCCTCAATCTAATGTCTGGTGTCCTTATAAAAGACGAGAGGATTCAGAGTATATAGGCACAGAAGAAATAAGGACATGTGAAGATGGAGGCAGAGATTGGGGTGATGTAGCTAGAAGCCAAGAAATGCCAGGAGCCACTAGTAGCTAGGAAAAGGCAGGGAAATATTATTCTAAAGAGCCTTCAGAATAAGCATGGACATACTGACAACTTGATTTCAGATATGTAGCTTCCAGAACTGCGAGAAAATAGATTACATTTGTTTTAATCCACTCAGTTTGGGGTGCTTTGCTGCAACAACCCTAGGAAACTAATACAGGGATAAAGATGAAGGATTATAAAATGCTATCAGGCCAAATTTATTGATAAGGAGTGCTAAGCAGATGTTCTAGATACATTTTATTTCAAAGGGTTAGATAAGGCTTACCAGTTTGTTTCATTGGTTGTTAGTATGTCTTTTCCTACTATGCCTGTGAAAGTGAGAAAATAACCACAAGATAGGTTTAGGAACCCAATGGGTCCGCTGTGAGAAGGACCTGAGCAAAACTTCCATTGATTACTTAACTTCCATCCACCTGAAAGTGCCTACAATAAGTGAAATTGAAGTGCCAGAACTGCCTGGGAGACTGTAGAGGAAGATATCCAAAGATTTGAGAAGACTGAAATGTTAGAGTGGATTTATCATTGGAAAAACTTCTCACCCACCCCAGGAGGGAGCCAGAGGACATTACGCTTCACCATGACTGTGAGAAATGATTTGTGAAGTCCCAGCATCCTTGATGGGATCTGCAGTTGCTCTTCTCTGTAATCAGATGTATCTTACAGTAGAGACTGGTACCATCAAATGAAATTCCAAAATGCAGTGGGGATAGTGGGATCTCAGGGTGGCAAGGTGGGACCAATGCAGTTGCTGTAATGGATAAAACAATAGTCAGAATTGTCTGACTCACTGAGACCTGTGATATTAGCCAATTGATAGTGGTGTCCCTAGAAAAGAAATAAATGGATAATTACTAAATTCCTACTTAGTCTTTTTTTTAATTTATTTTAATTTATTTTTATTTGGTGCAGGGGGAGGAGGGATGGTAATTAGGTTTATTTATTTATTTATTTATTTATTTATTATTTTTAGTGGAGGTACCAAGGATTGAACACAGGACCTCTTGCATGCTAAGCACATGCTATACCACAGAGCTATACCCTCCCCCTCCTACTTGGTCTTTATAAGCAGAAGAGTTCTAGGTCTATGAACAGAAATCCCAGCTTGCATCACGAAAGTGGAGAATCGCAGTCCTTCAATCAGTTCTCAGACTTGAGCCAATTTACATACCCAGAACTCTGAAAGAAGGGAAGGTTAGGTTTTCTTGAGGAAGGACCCTACTTCATTGCCAAAAATGTATAATGTTAATTTCTTCCCCAGTCTTCCGCAAAGGATCCTATAGTCATTTGCTGGAGTGACTGTGCACTGAGGGAAAGGAAATAACCAGACTTCTGGGGGATTAGTAGGCAGTGGCTCTGACTTAACACTAATTCATGGAAACCTGAACATCACTGTCTACCTATCAGAGTAGGGACTTGTGAAGGTCGAGTGATCAGTGGAATTTTAGCTCAGGTCCATCTTACATTAGGCCCAGTGCATCTCTGAACACATCCTGTGGTTATTTCCCCAGTTCCAGAATGCATAAAAAAATAGACATACTCAGCAATTGGCAGAATCCCCACATTGGTCCCCTCACCTGTAGAGTGAAGGTTGTTAATATAGGAAGGGACAAATGGAAGCCACTAGAACTGTTGCTAAGCTATAAAAACATAAGCCAAAACAATACCACATTTTTGGAGGGATTGCAAAGATTAGCACTACTGTCAAGAACTTGAAAGTTGCAAAGGTTGTGATACACACCACATCCTTTTTCGACTCACCTATTTGACAGAAGACAGTTAGATCTTGGGGAATGACAGTGGATTTTCATAAATCTGATTTTGTGGTGATTCCAGTTGCACTATTCCAGATGTGGTTTTATTGCTTGAGCAACTTAACACATTTCCTAGTACCTAGTATACAGCTATTGATCTGGTGAAAGCTTTTTCCAATTACATGTGTTCTAAAAGACCACTAGAAGGAATCAACAGACAAGTCAGCAACACGCCTTTACTGTCCTGCCACAAGGTACATCAACTCTTCAGTCCCATGTCATGATTTAGTCTTCAGGGACCTCCTTCCCCTTCTGCAGAACATTGTGCTGGCCCGTTACACTGATAATGATATGCTGGTTGGTCCTGGTAGGCAGGAAGTAGCAATTACTATACACGTATTTGTAAGGTATTTGCATGTCAGAGGATGGGAAATAAATCCCCCCAAATTCAGAGGCCTTGTACCTCTGAAATTTCTAGGGGTCCAGTGGAGTGGAGCATTTCAAGACATCACTTCTAAGGTGAAGGGTAAGTTGTTATATCCAGCCCCTCCTACTATTAAAAATAAATAAATAAAAGGCGTAACCCACAGTGAGAGAAGGGAAGTCTTGGCAACAGGTCCTGGCTGTTATGCACGTTGCTGTGCCACGTGGGTCAGATGACTCAGTGGATCCAGTGGTGCTTGAAGTGGCAGGCAGAGGTGATATTTGGAGTCTTTGGCAAGTACCTGTAAGTGAATCACAATGCAAACCCTTAGAATTTTGGGGCAAAGCCCTGCCATCCTCTGAGAATAACTACTCTCCTTTTGAAAAATGGCTTTTGGCTTACTAATGGACCTTTGTAGAGGCTGAATCCTTACCAGTGGACCAGAAAGTTACCATGTGGCCTGAGCTCAGTTATAAATCATGTGATTGGTGTGTAACCTCAGTATGATGTGATGAAAATGGCACCACACCTCTGTGATCTTCCAAAAACCCGTAACTCCAGTCTAGTGAGAAGAATGTCAGACAAATTACAAATTCCATTAGGGGGCATCCTAAAAATTACTTGGCCAGTACTCTTCAAAACTGTTAAGGCCATCAAAACAAGAAAAGTCTAAGGAACTGTTGGTCAAGAGGAGCCTAAGAAGGCGTGACAAATAAATGTTATGTGGTATTCTGGGTGGGATCCTGGAACAGAAAAAGACGTTAGGTTAGGAAGTCTGAATAAACTATGGACTTTAGTTAGTAAGAGTGTACCAGTTTTGGTTCATTAAGTGTAATAAATGTACCATGCTAATGTATGATGTTAGTAATAGGAGAAATTGGGTACAGGGTACATAGGAACTCTGTACTATCTTCTCCATTTTTCTGTATGTCTAAAACTATTTCAAAGAAAGTCTGTTATATTAGAAAAAAATCAAACTCAAATACCATGTCACAAAGTGATAAACCAAGACTTTCCAACATAAAGAAGAATGTCTAGTCATATTGTTCTTATTTTGTACTTCAATAGAAAAATTATAATTTAAATGTTAAGTATTTCATCTTTATCTAATCCTTTAAAAAGTGTGTTGTGTGTATGTTTTATAGTAAATAAACACAGAGGTACATGTGTGTATTTTTAATGTGTAAGTGTATGTTGGAAATGCCCACAATTTTTTTACTGATATTACTGAACTAAATTATTAGAAAGCAGGTGTGTTAAACTGAATAAGTCAAAGACTAAATCAGAATTTCTTAGAGGAAGTTGTGAAAAGTAAGCCAATGAACTATGATATAATTACAATTAGCCTATTTTTATGTCAGGATGAATAAATAATAACGCAAAACTAAGCTTAAGTAACAGCCTGTGTAATAACATTGCTAGAGACAATTCCAGTTTCCAGCTTCCCCTTAGAATCAAACATTCCCAAATGAGATAACTAAGAGTAAAATGATGGTATTATAATTTGTAAGTTCTTAGACTTGGTAGCATTTTGAATCATTTCAAACTGCTTCTTCAGTGGCCTTGCCTAGAATAGTTAATGTATCAAAGACTCTGAGTCCTTATTTTTTGGACACTTCAGCCCTTATTTACAGTAATTTTTCATGAAGAATACTGCTAAGGCATTGCAGTGTTTGTTTATTGGATTGGCTGATTCTTTAATTCTCTAATAGGAACTTAGTACCAATTGGATGCACATCTTCCTTTTCAATACCATCAACTCATATTTTATAGCAAAGTCAAAACATTCTGTGTTTTCACTATATGGAATTTCCCAATGTCACAGCAATAAAAAATAGATTTCAAATATGTTCTGTACATCAATTTCTAAAGTAGTCACAGCAGAGGTACTTTTTGGTTTATTCTAGTTTCACAGGTTCATGTACTGTACCCAGGCTTGGAAGCAAGTATATCTAGTTTCACTTAGAAATTAACTACTCCAGGAATACCTGAGTATTTATTTGAAAGACCCCCCTTTTCAGTATGTTTCTTGATTGTGGAGTGCTCATTATTTTTACGCAGGATTTGGGGATGAAGAGGCTACTGTGTATTTGCAGTTCTGAGACTAGAAGAAATAACTTTACAGGGAAAACTGGGGGAAATAGTTTATTAAAAAATATCTTGCAGTAGTAATAGTTTACCTAGAAACCCCCAAAATTGTCCCCAAGAGGTTTTTTTGGGAGAAGTATAGGCCATGACGAAATTTAATCATGAAATTGAAACCATTTCATACAAAAGGAAATAACAGAGAATAATATAAAAAGACTTGGAATTCTGGAAAACATTAAACCAGTCCTTTGCTTCCAGCTAAGTGTAATTTCATCCTAAACAAATAACACAGGCAGCTGATAATCTTAACTTACTTGAAGAGCTTCTAAAGTGGAACTCCATACCCTAAGTACCTTAGTATCCGCTGTGGACTGAATCATATCCCCTCACTGCAAATTCATAAGTTGAAGCCCTAATCCTCAATATGACTATATTTGGTCATATGAACTGAATGTGTCCTCCCAAAATTCACGTGTTGAAACCCTGTCCTCCAATGGGATGGTGTTAGGAGATGGGGCCATTGGAGGTAATTAGGACCAAATGAGGTCAGTAGGGTGGAGAAACCATGAATGAAATTAATGCCCTTACAAGAGTCAAAGGACAGTTTACTCTTCCTCTCTGCTACTCTCTGCCAAGTGAGGAAATAAGGAGAAGTCAGCAATATAAAAGCCAGAAAAGATTTTTCGTTAGAACTCAGTCATACTGGCATCCTCATCTTGGACTTCCAGACTCCAGAATTGTAAGAAATAAAATTGTTTAAGCCATCGAGTATATGATAGTTTGTTATAGCAGCTTGACCTGACTAAGAAATTTGGAGATAGGGCCTGTGAGAAGGTGATAAAGGTTAAATGAGGTCATCAGGGTGGGGCCCCAGTCTGACAGGATTGGTGCTTTTATAAGAAGAGGAAGAGACAGCAGACTTCTCTGTCTACCGTGGAGGACACAAGACAGCCATCTGCAAACCAGAAAGAAAGCTGTCACCAGAAACCAGACCAGCCAGCACCTTGATCTTGGATTTCCTAGCCTCCGGAACTGTGAGAAAATAAACTTCTGTAGTTTAAGCCTCCCAGTCTATGGTGTTTTGTCACGGCAGCCCAAGCCAATTAAGACAGTATCAGAGTACTTCTTTATACTTACCTTTTAGGACAAGCACCTGAGTTCCTTTGGAAAGGACGCCCATCTTTCATACTGTACACTGGAATTCAGAAAGAGCTAGAGGGACAAATTGTAGACGTTTCCTAAGAAAATAAAGGTAAGGAAGAGAAATAGGAGACCTTCACCTACAGTAATCTGATGTGAGGTTGGTAATTTTCATGTAACCCCTTCTTATCTCCATCACAGTCAGAGGGGAAAACATCACCCTACGATTACCAAAAGCTCTCTACTTACGATGAGTCAACCATACCTTGAGAAATCATACCAGGATATTGCTGACAAAGTAACAAGGGCTTTCTGGATCTTTTGCTAATCTTTGTACCTCGTAACTTTTTTCTTTGCACTTCATCCAGAATTTTAGTGAATGATTAACTAGGTCTTCTTCAGAAAATAAGGCTGCATAATTTCATTATCATTGCATTATTTCCCAAAGACCACAGCAGCTCAAATCCACCTTAAAATAGTGGCCTTTCTTTTAAGGAAGTACCTCTATCTCTTGAGGTACACCAGGGCCACCTCATACAGCTGTGCAGCAGAGGCCTTGGGGTAAAAAGATAACTTTCATAGCTAGATGAGGACATGGATAGACTTGTTTTCCTCTCTGCCCACTTACTTTATGTTCACCATATTCCTTCTTTACCAAAAACAAAAGACTGCTCTCTCATCCCTCCCAAATCTTACTACAGTGCGTCCCTCGAGTGCTGTGTTGTCAAATACTATAATAACCACTAGTCACATGTGTATATTAAGCACCTGAAATGTAGCTGGTCAAAATTAAGATTTGCTATTTGTGTAAAATACTACGGGATTTCAAGGAATAGTACCCCAAAAATGTAAAATACCTTATTTTTAATGTTTTATATTGATTAAATGTTGAAATGATAATATTTTGGAAATAATTGCATTATACACAATATTAATTTCACCTGTTTCTTTTTGCTTTTTAAACAAGGTACTAGAAAATTTTTAATTACATATATTACTCACATTATATTTCTATTGGATAGTGCTATTTTAGAGCATCAAAACAAAGGGACAATTTAAATATTGCTTTTGGAGAAGTCTCCAACATAAGGCACCAAAATTTTGCATTCAGGCTTCGTGTCTTGCCCCTCCTTCTGTTAAGAGTGGGTATTTTGGTATTTTAGTGGAGTAGTTTAGTCAATATGTTCATTCAGATATAATGTGAAGTAGGGATATGAGAGTGACAGTAATTTCACTGGAGGAAAGCACTGCTCCTGAGGGAGAGTGCTGGAAGAATCAGGCAGAGTACAGGTAAGCAATAGTGATGACATTTTATGTCGTCCAGGTGACACGCTCGGGGCAAGGCTCTCTGCCTTACTTAGTACTCTTTCTTAGAATTAGTGTGTGCAGGTGAGATGACTGTTCTTTGGCAGGCCCAGAAATGGGAGGTGATTGACTAATTACTGGATAATCAATCCTTTTGTAATTCAGGGGCTTTCTAATTCTTTGCTTTCAACAAACTTGACAGAAAACCTAAAGTTTTTAGCTGATGACTTAAAATAACTAAATGAGAGATTACTATGATGCTTTGGGCATGCAATTCAGAAGTTGAAAGAACTGTCATAACAAAACTGTTTTCATCTATTTATGAGAACAATATTTCTCAGTGCTTCTTTCTGTAGAACCTAAAATTAGAAATTGAATTCAGATTAAATCCTATCTCTTTCTAACAATAAATAACATTCACCAATGGATTTTGAAAGAGATGCACCCAATAGAATTTTACTGAGTATGTGTAATTATTATCAAAATTTGTAATATATTGTTTTAAATTTTTACTCCTGATAATTATAATAATAAAACTTCCAGGTAATTTTAAGTAATAAAAGACTTTCAAACAAAATATACTACATTATATAAAATTCTGGGAATAGAGAATGGAGTAGAAAAGTAAGATTTCAGTGAGAAAAAGGGATGTTGTAAAATTAGTCTTTTTTATGAATGATGTGAATTTCTAATATGTTATTTATGTTGCCACAAAACCAGCCTCTGTACCCTGAAAGCTGGATTGAGGCAGAGTTTTGGGAGAATTCAAAAAGAACCTCTTTATTGCTTTGCCTGGCAAATGGGAGTCACAGCAGTCTTGTGCCTTAGAGACTTCGAATCCATCTTGGGGGTGGGGTCTTGAGGTTTTGCAGAAAAACTAGATGGGACAGAAAAGGTGGTGACAATCAGGACGTTTTACAGGGTGCTACATTCCTCTTAACCTCAATAAATCTGGGGCCCTGGGAGGGTCTGTCCATTCTTCTGAGATCACTGGCCCATTACCTCCTTCCTGGAGCATAGACTCTGGGTTAAAGCTATTCTCAGTAAAGAATGTATAGGGAGGGGAGAGCATAATGGAAAAGTTTGGGGGTTGTTTAGCACAGAAGCAGTAAGAGAGAAAAAGCAAGTTGCAGGAGTTCTTAGTCAGAATGAATCAGCAAACAGTTTTCACATCAGGGAAGTGATTATTGGTTTTGGAAACATGAGTCAGGTGATGATTTTATTTTAAAATACCAGTATTTATAATACAATGGAAATGACATCCTTTAAAACTAAATTTCTAATGGAAAATTTTAGATGTCAAGTTTCAAATGTTGGAACAGTTTCACAGTTCTTCAGAACTCTTTTACGGGAAAAGGTGAGCCAAACCCTCACGTGATGGCCTCCAATGCCAGCCAGTCAAACCTCTTCATCTATGGATGTGGCAGCTGAGGACCAGAAGTTCTGCCCTTGAACCAGAACCCAAGGCCACGTTCAGTCACTGGCTCTGCAGCCCCGCTCCATCGCCTACTCAAAGAGGGCACACAGGGCTCAGTGAGAAAGCCCATGTTTTATTAATGGTGAGATGCCTCTAAGTAAGGGGTCGTCTCTGAACCGTATTTGAGTTTAGAGCTATCTGGCATCTGTGGTGTCAGACTGACTGTCACCACCAGTCTTGCCCACCATCAGCATTATTTTTAAAGAAGTCATTTAGAAATAGGAAATGTCCATACATCTGTCACAGCAAGTTGGGTAGTAATTGATCTGCTGACCTCCCTAACAAAGCTGGAAGCAGCTTCGGGGGAAGGAGATATCCATTGGCTTGGTTGGCTTGGGCTGGGCAGCCATAACATAATACCACATCCTGGGTGGCTTCAACAACAGAAATTTATTTTCTCACAGTCCTGGAGCTAAAAGTGAGATCAGAGTGCCAGCACACCCAGGTTCTGGGGAGAGTCTGTTCCTGGCCTGCAGATGGCTGCCTTCTTGCTGTGCATACTTGCTGAAAGCAAGCTCTGGTCTCCCTTCCTTTTCTTAGGAGGACATAATCCTACTGGATGAGCACCCTACCCATATAACTTCATTTAACTTTATTTCCACAAAGGCCCTGTCTCCAAATATGTCACATTACGGGTTAGAACTTCAACATACAAATTTTAGTTGGACACAAACATTCAATTCCCTAATACTCATAAATCTTTATGTTCCTTGTTTCTAACCCAATGGATGGTACCAGTGATCATTAGTAAATTTCTGTGGAGTGAATTCATATTCTTTATATCAGTATCATGGTGGAAATGTAGTATAGCAAAGAGAAAACTGGCTCTGTGACCTTGGGCAGGTCATATACCCTCTCTAAGTGAAGACCGGAATGCCTCAGAACGCTGGCACCAAGCTTCATGATCTTTTCACTGTACCAGGTGATCCAAGACCTTAAAGAAACTGTTCATTTTAAGATAGCCTTGGACTTCACTGGGTCATAATTTCTGTTTTATGCAATAATTCACTGCATTGGTCTAGCCTTTGGGGTATGCAGGAGGCTGGGTTAAGGAATCTTCCTGGCAAGGAGAGAAAAACATTGGGTGTTTTAATAGCTATTCTCTTGCAAAATTAACCAGTTACTTGCAATCTTCTTGAATTATTTTTCAGAACATTTATAGCCAAAGCTTTGTGAGTAAGTCCAAACACGGACACTAGATGGCATCGTAAGGTCCTCATCTGCACCAGTTCCTGACAGCCCAGCAGGCCTTTCCCACCATTTACAGCAGAGTCTAGGGTGAAGAGAACTTAGAGAAATGTTCTTCCTTTTCTTTGTAGAGTCTATAAGTTTTCTTTTGAAAAGTAGGAACTGTGAATAGTATGCAGAGGAACAAGGCTCTCAGGACAAACTCCATCCAGTGTGTATCAAGTCAGGAGACTAGATCTAAGTCCCAAGGCTAACACTTAGCAGGTGGATTTCTTGGAGAAACTCTATTTTCTGCCCTGAATGTGTCTCATAGGATTGCTGGGAGGACCATTCAGAGTTGTGTATGAGAATTTCCATGTGCTACAATTAAAAACCAAGGTTCTTTCTGCCTCTGCAGCCCTCTCCTTGGGAGGCTCCCACCTTGCACCAGCTCTGGGCATCTGCTACCCTGGCCCCTGCCTCCTCTTTGTCAACTGCAAGATCACTCTAAAACACTCATAAAGGGCTCTGACATCAGATCTGTTTGTTTCAACCTTCTACTCAAACAGCTGAAACTGGCGGTCTTAGTGTCCTCCACGCCCGTGGTGTTCAGCTTCTCTTCAGCAGCTTAGTCCTGTGGCTGCACCTAGACCTTGTTATCATCTGGAAGTGAACCCCTTAAGACCATCAGCTTCATCCCAGTAAGAGTCATCCCTCCTTTCTCCTCTTCCACCTGTTCATCCATTTCATTGTGATTCCAGCTCCTTCACTTCTTCCTTCTCTCCCTGTTCATCAGCCCCCACTTCTCTACACACAGAGCCCCTCTTTCTTGTCTTGCCCATGCTGTTTACTCTCTCGTCAACACCTACCACTCCCTCACTGCCTGTTCCCCCACTGCCTCCATCCCTCAGGGCCCCCATGAGACTAGTGCAGACCTTTGAGGGAGCGCAGAGCACAGAGGTGAAGGAGCACAGGCGTGGAACTGAATGACTGCTCTGACGGTGGACAGCTGTGTCACCCTGAGCACGTTATTAATCCCTCCGAGCGTCAGTATTGGGTATTTGAGAGGGGTGGAAGCATTATTTACAGGAGAATTAAGAGAAGGTAATAAGTAAAAAGATTTCTTTGGAACTTCTTTCTATGCTTTTATCTTTTGCATCTTC